TGTATGTATGTATGTATGTATGTATGTATGTATGTATGTATGTATGTTTCTTTTTAAATGTTTTAAATATATGAAACTTAAATAAACTTTATTTCAAAAAAAAAAAAGACCAATGTCAATTTCTTATTTTTATTAGCTTAACAAATTTACAATATCAAAATTCAGCATATGTCTATGTTACGAACTTCTTCCTACAAAGTTCAGGCAATTTAGTGTTTAGGCAATTTAGTGTTTTTGGCTTCAGAACAGTCAAGAAATGTTTTATTTTGAGGGTAGTCAGAATAAATAGTGCTAACTATGAATACAAATTATCTGCTGGAATTAGGGAAGTAAAGAGTGTTTTGGCCTATGCGGGGAAGTTTCATTGCCTATAGTTCAAACCAAGCTCTGTTAATATTTCATACTTTAGTGGGGTATTTTGGCGTTCAACTGTGTTAAATGAAATCTCCCAACATTCCTCACCATTGGACCGTTGTGGAAAAGGCTGTTGTGAATTACAGTTTAGCACAGGGGTGCCTGCAGGTCGGTGATGGGATTCATTTCTTTTTACTACCGGTGTCTTGGTGGACGTGGTGTGGCTTGGTGGGCGTGGCTTGGTGGGTGTGGCTTGGTGGGCATGGCAGGGAAAGGATACTGTAAAATCTCCATTCCCTCCCCACTCCAGGGGAAGGTTACTGCAAAATCCCATTCCCTCTCCGCCCCACTAACCTGCTTTCCAGCTCCGTTCTCCTGTGCAGGGCAACCAAAGAAGGCCCAGCCGATCAGCTGGGACTCGGGAGGCAAAGAATAGATGGGGGAGGGGCCAGTCAGAGGGGGTATTTGCCGGTTCTCCAAACTACTCAAAATTTCCATATCTGTGCATCACAAACAAAACCCAAATAGCATTTCAATTGCATGTCACTAATTCATCAACAATTAAAAAGCCCTCTGTTGCTTTAGATTTGTCTTTCAAACAGAAGCTCATCTTTGCTAATGAAATAGGTTCTCTCCATGATAGGATTACATTAACAATGCAATTAAAATGTTGCTTTCATTTCCTTCTGCAGCACCACATTCATCCTTGCCCTGCTTGTGGGGTGATATACAGAGCTGACGAACATAACCCGCCCGTATTACCAGCCAGACCTGAGCTTCCGATGCTGTTGAGCGGCCACTGGGTCAGCTCTCGCTGCGAAGTCCGCCCAGCAGTGCTTTTCCTTACCAGGTACTTTATCTTCCATGCCAACAACCGCAGCTGGGAAGGCTACTATCACCACTACTCTGACCCTCTCTGCAAGCAACCAACTTTCACCGTCTATGCCTTGGGTCATTACAACGAGGGAGCCCCTTCCCGCATCGTGAGAGGAGGCACCGAGCTGGTCTTCAAGGTGACACATGCTCGGGTGACACCTATGGATCAGGTCACTGCGTCCATGCTGAACTCCTCTGATTTTGGGAGCTGTGGAGAGGCTGGATCTTGGCACATGGGGCAGGAGCTAGATGTGACCCACACCAATGGATGCGCAGCCCTAGGTATTAAACTCCCCCACGCCGAGTATGAACTCTTCCGCCTCGAACGAGATGGAAAAGACCGGAGCCTGCTGTTTATTGGTGAGAGACCAACTGATGGCTCAAGTCCTAACACTCTCGATAAGCGGCCCACGTCTTACCAGTCTCCTCTTCTCCAGTGTGGTGGGCCCTCGGGAACTTTGGCAAGATATAGCATGCCACACGATCCAAAAAGATTAAGTGCCCAAGCAAATCATGGAGCTCCAAAGACTCCCTTATCTCTGCTGGTGTTTCTAGCTACATTGCTGGCCAACTGGGATTAAAAGCTTGCTGATGGAGCAGCAGAAAATGCAGATAACCTTAGCCTTCAGGCTTTGTGTAGTCCAATCAAAAAATAAGCACAGAGGCGTTTTTTTCCACAGGTTGCAAAAAATTATGTTTCCTTGCCTATGTTTTCCGTTGCCGTGCTCGCTTACATACACCTGTAAATTGGTTTTCTTGATTTTTGAAGTGGAAAATCACTCACTTTTCATCAGGTGACTCAATGCACACACAACTGCCTGTTTCTGAAGCAGTGTTTCTCAATCTCAGAAATTTTAAGATACAAGGACTTCAATTCCCACAATTCAATTCAGCTGGGTGGAGAACTCTGGGAGTTGAAGTCCGCACATCTTCAGGTCCCTAAGTTGAGAAACACTGTTCTTGAAGGGCCCAAAAAGATAGAAAAGGTTTTTTTTTTCCACCCTCCTTCGAAGACATCTCATTGTTTAAACTTCTGTTGTTCATTGAAGAAATATTTCACTAAATATTCACTAAATTTTCTTCTTGACGTTGCTTCGTATTAATTTTACTGATATGCAACCAACACTTTTTACAATGCAAAAGGTTATCCTTGTTCAAATAATAAAGGATGAGAGAAATTGAATTTTAGGTGCTATAAGAACGAACTGTGTGACATAATGCTCGCCTAAATTAAGAGCCTTAGTGAGAAGGTTGTTTGCCAGGGTGGATGGTCCATTTTAGCAAGGGGAAAACACCTTTCTTGGTAGACCAAATACATAAGGATGATGATGTCCCATAATTGTTCTGTTAAGCAGCTTTAAATTATCTTTGAAATAAAAAATGTATGGTTTTCAGTCCTCAGGGAGAATAAGCTAAAAATAAGAAAAAAGAAAGATTTGTCAGCAAGGTCACAATTTGTGGATGCCAACTTATTTAAAAAGTTTTGTATTGTGCTGAGCATGTTGCTTACGGTAAGGCTAAGCGTAGTGCTTATGGAAGGGGGATGAAACCCTCACCTCGGATTCTGTCAACCATGATGTGTGTGCATGGTATCTGCAGAGGTTGAAAAAATGCCAAGATGGTGGTCATGATCAAACCTGTTCATTTTCCTTGGGTGGTCAGCATTGCAGGCACATACAGGTAATTCTCGACTTACAACAGTTCACTTAGTGACCAAAGTTACAAGGAGACTGAAAAAAGTTGACTTGCAACTTATGACACTTATGACTGTTGCAGCATCCCCATGGTCACGTGATCAAAATTCAGGTGCTTGGCAACTGACTCATAGTTATGATGGTGGTAGAGTCCTGTGGTCACCTTTTGTACCCTTCTGATAAGCAAAGTCAATGGGGAAGCCTGATTCACTTAACAGCCATATTACTAGCTTAGCAAACTGCAGCGATTTGCTTAAACAACGGTGGCAAGAAAGGTCGTAAAAATGGGGCAAGATTTGCTCAACAAATGTCTCGCTTAATAACAGAAAATTTGGGGCTGAATTGTGGTCCTAAGATAAGGATTACCTGTACACAGAATCAGGGTTTGGGCTTCATTGAGAACCATCAGGTCCTGCTCACATGTGTTACAAACAGCACTTTAAAAACACAATTACTAGTGGGGCCAGTGGGACTTTCCTAAGCATTTGGGTTGTGTAAAGGATTTGGTCCCGTGTTCTTCAGCAGTAATAATTTTTAAGAAGGGATTTATTTTGGTAAACAAAAGAGAATGTTCAGGCAGCTTTGTCTCCAATTTACTCATATTAGTAGATTTCAGACATGACTGCAGTGGCCATAATTCCCAGTCAATGTGGCATAAAATGAGAGGCACTGGACCAGGGATGGGATTCAAATTTTTTAACAACTGGTTCTGTGGACATGGCCAGGTGGGCGTGGCCATGTGACTTGGTGGGCATGGCTTCTTTTTTGCAGCACCCCCCCCTTTTTGGACCTCCTGGGCCTCAGGGAAGCCTCCTGGGGGGGGGGCGTTTTTGCTCCCAGAAGGCTTCCCTGGGGCCCAGGAAGGCAAAAAACAGAACGCGGGGGGGCGGGGCGGCGCACAGCACCCTCCCACCCCCACATGTGCCCCTTTTTGCCTCCTGGGCCTCAGGGAAGCCTCCTGGGGGAAGCAGTAAGACAGCGAGGGGGATCCTGGCACAGCTGATCATTGGAACAGCTGATCGTTGGGAGTGGGGAAAATACCTTAAGGAGTGACTGGGCAGGGGAGAATGCAGTCAGTAATGTTGGGCATGTGCGATAAGGACTGACTGGGTGGGGAGGGGCAGGCGGAGAGGGGCGGGGCCAGCCAGGGGCAAGATTTGCCCGTTCTCCGAACTGCGCAGAATCATAACTGGTTCTATAGAACCGGTCCAAACCGGTAGAATCCCACCCCTACACTGGACTCTCATACTTCGGTAAGGATTCTTTGGTGTCTTCTAGTGATTTTCCTATCCATCCTAAAAAAAAATTGGCTCATTTTAGCTTTCTTGGTTATCTTCTGACAAAGCAGACAACAGTGGTTGTCACACTGCTCAAAATGTTCTTCCGACCTGTGGAAACCCAGTCTGAGTTAGCAGCTACTCCATTTTAAAAAATTATTTTCTTCTTGTTTTTTTGCAGTAAGAATAGGCAGGCGCCCCAGAGCTTAGGAAAGAACAAGTGATTCTATACAACCTAAATTAACTCAGGATGATGCATATGGGATCATACAATAAAAAGCTGCTGTAATTTTGTTTTTAGCTTTGTGTATTAATAAGCTTTTTTTTTGCAAACTGATATATTTTTTGATGAAAAGAACAACTATGCAATGACTGCAAATGATATAGTGTACTAACAGGATTATGATTAATATGTAAAAATGTTAATGAGATTTTATAGAAACATCAGAGCCAAATTCATTTACTGCAGACAAAATGTAATGCTTTTCTTAATGTCTAATTGTTACAATAAATTGTATTTCAGCAGATTTTTTTAAAAAAAAAAACCCTCAAAGGAAAGTATTTAGATGTTCTGTACATAAAAACAACTGTTCATCTTCTTAAAAAAATGAGTCTTTTGTTCCTGGAACTTCCTGTTCTTTCCTTTTACTGATCAACAACAGGACTAAGTATTAAATCTTTGCAATTTCTGATGCTTACTGTTTGAGACTCCTAATTTTGTATGGGCCATTACAAAATTCCTAATTTAAAACATAAGAAGAGTGGCTTCTCTGTAAAAAAAAGATAACATTCTGCCCGTGAAGCTTCTACTTTTGATCTATTAAAAGGAGTTCCAGATATCAAGTTCCAGATATAACGGGGAAAAATAGGCAGTACTTAGATTGAATGGTCTTATAATTCACAAGAAATGAACCTTTTAAATTCGGGCTACATTTAGCTCTTGAGGAAGATCCCAGGGTTTGCATTCCAATAAGCAGTTGGAAACAAAACAGTGTCATTCAGGAAAACGAATTATTAGAATGCAGCTAAAATGTTAAACGTGATTAATGTATGCCATTCCGTCTTTGTAAAAATAAATTTTAATACATTAAAATTTCCATTTGGTAGTAATTGGGTGGGGTAGGGGGGAATAGTCTGAAGGCCACATGTAGCCTAGGGGAGGGTCCTCCAATTGCTGTCCCACTTTTTAATAAATCTCAGCATTTCACTAATTTAAAAAAAGTTGCTGTTTTTTCTCTCTCTCCAAATAACGTATGCTTGAGGAACTATTAACTCCAAATGGTCTCCAGACTGTTTCAATAATTTAAGTACAATATAGGTGTGGCTTATTTGATATGGATACTAGAAGTTAAGATAGGGCTAGTTTAAATTACTTTGAATTTGGAATTAAAATTAGACCTTTGTCTTTGTGAACCTGTTGCACCGGCGCAGCCTCTTGGAGCAGGATGCCTTGCAGGGTCCCAAAGACTCATTTCTGGCAGAGTTTGCGGGAGAGAAAGAAAGACTTTGGCTGCTTTCCTTGCGTGCAGCCAAAAGCAGAAGTGGAAAAGAAGCAGCCCGGTGGCCAGGCAAGTTCCTTCCCCTCCACCCTTCCCCCCCTCCCCTTACTACCTCATGTTGGTTCGCAAAGCACGCGACACAAGCCTTGTGTTCCCGCGCAGCCTGGATTATTTGCTTTGGGGGGACATTTCTCTGCGGACCACCAAAATTTTCTCATGGAGCACCAGTGGTCCCCGGCCCACTGGTTGGTGACCCCGGTTCTAGTCCAAACCCTTGCTCAGGCAGGAAGCTCTATACCATTTCAGAATGCCTGGCTCAAAGCCATCCAGGTTTTTCAGCTCAACTACTGAGGCAGTGAATCCTTAGGCTTAGAGGTGAATTCAGAAATTTTGTAATTACGCACTTCAGTTTACAAGGTAAATCAAATTTTACGGGTGAATTCTGCACAAGTTATCAATAGCAAAAATACCACAGCTCTTCCCCCCCACCTAGCTAACTTTAGTTGAACAATCCATGCTGAAAACATATGTTCTCTTCCTTAAATACCTTACACATAATTCTAATTGTAAGAATGTGTCTACTGAAAAAGTCAACAGGCATTTACTCTGCCCTACCCACCACAACTAAGTTTTTAACGTTGCAAGTGGGAGTGTGCAATGTGCAAATAAGTTTTATAGTCACTTGGAAATATCAAGTTGATAGAAAACAAATTAGGAGAGTGAAAAGTGGTTGTTAAAACATACCAAAATAACTTAAGCACATGCCCTAATTGCACATTCTTGTTTTAAATGAATTCAGTGATCAAATGTTGGTATTAATCTGCCTACTCAAGTTCTTCAAAGATTTGAATGCTTAAGCAAGTGACTATTTGCAACAACACAACCAGTTGTGATGGAAATGTGAAGGACGTTCATCTACCTTGCCACATAACTCACAAATGGAGGCTTTCTTATGTAAGATTTGCATGGCCTTGTTTTGTCACAAACATGACATAAATAGAAAAAAGTGTCATCTGATAAATTGGTGATTGGAAAAAAAAATGAGGCATTAAGATTGTGGATACAAAACTCTTGCTATCCTGGGACAAAGTACTGTAATCTGCTTGGAGACAAGTATGAGCATGGCTTCCCTTTTTAAATATATTTATACACCATAGCCTGTTTGTTGTGATAGTTCAGGATGGTTGCCTGTCAACATTAGCCATAAACAGAGCGTGAATCATGAATAGCCTGATTTAGAATCATGATTGCACATACCTTTTCTGTAACCCTGCCCAAGATCTCGACATCATGAATGATTTGGTGCCTGAATCACTTGTCTGTAAAATTGAGAACACTGTAATCTCATGTATCTTTGTTCTATCCAAAACCATAAATTATGTGAATGCATAGTACTTAGTGCTGGTTAAATACTTGCATAATTTACTGTGGGGTCCATGCTCATACAATTCTGAAAACCACATTCACTAATTATAATCCACATGGGACTTCTTCCTTTGGTGCAGAATGGGACTGGATTATTTTTATTTGAACTATGTTAAAATTCAAGTCCAAATCAAGTCCAAAATAGGGGCGGAAAATCATTTAAAATGATCATAAAACAAATATGCCAAGCTATTTCTACTTCATATTAAAGGCCACTGTTGCTATATTGATCACAAAAAGGCTTACCTGTATCAACATGGTTTTCCTTTAACGCAGATCTTCCTAACCTTCCGCAGCCTGGTGATGTGGGCTTCAAACTCTCAAGTTTCCCATACAGGGGAGCTATTGCTGAGAATTCTGGGAGTGAAATCCAAATCTTTGAATGATGCTCAGTGTGCTTTTAAGGATAACACACTTTAGAATGGATTTATTTTTCTTCTTGTTTGTTGCATGACCTCAATACTAGTGTGATGCGATAAAAGCCATAGATATCTTAAAGAAGAACATATGGGTTTGGCTTAATGTGCTGAGCCAGTCAATTATGGGTTTCTTCAGGAAAGTATGATTACGACACATGGTTTAGCTATGAATCTTATTGCCAATCCATGTTGATGATGGCTGCAAATGCAGACAATTTGAAAAGGAAACTAGATACATTTTCAGAAGAAAATATGTCATGGAATCGATTTACTACCCCCTGAATCTTGTCAGAATTAGTTTGGTGTAGTGGTTAAGGTAGAACCCGGGAGATCAGATTCTAGTCCTGCCTTCGGCACAAAGCCAGCTGGGTGATCCTGGGATGGCTCTCTCAGTCCTACAAAGGAGGCAATGGCAAACTTCTGAAGATCTTGTGAAGAAGGACTTTTCCATCCAATCACCAAGTGTCACAACTGACTCAAAGGCAACCCCCCTCCCCAAATCACAAATGGCCTGATTTAAGTACCAGTTGCTGGGGAGCAATAATGAAAGATGACCATCATGCTCTAAGTTCTGCTTGGAAAACTTACTAAAGGTGCCAGGTTGGACATTCTACAAACACAATGCAGGCTCTTTTTAAACTATTCATGATTTACTATAATGTGTGAGGACTCTGCATCTGCAATTTTTAAGTCGCCATTGAGCAGCTCCCATGCTAAACTCCCAGGAGATGAAGATCCAAGAGTGCAGATTTCAAACATCAACCTTGTAATAAAAAAGTTGCAAATGTCCCTGTGAACAAATCAATGGCTAAGGGAATATTCTTTGAGACCTTCAGCCATTAATTCGTTCTATAGAAATGAGATGGAAGGAGTCCAGTCTTAAAAGATGAAACATACTTTAAGTAAAACCTTTTAAGTTGTGACTACCTCAAGAGAATATAATTTTTCATATTTACTGGACACTACAGAGTATATTTTAAAAAAGAATTGGCTGCCAACTTCATTATGTTAGAAATTAAAAAAGGACGAAAGACATATCATTTGGCTTAATATCTGTAAATTTAAAGACCAATACAGGCATCAATATATTTTCAAGATATGTAAACATTTTTGGATTATATACCAAATATATGGAATTAACAAACAGCTGTTTATTAAATCTTTATGTGATAGGCTGATCAATATTATTCTATGTGGTTAAGGTTTAATGGCATGTTTAAAAATAAGCCAAATCACTTCCTTTTTTTTTCTTTTCTCTTTATGCTTTTTTTTCCTATGCCCCTTTAAAAAAAAAATTTTAAAGAAATAAAAGAAGCTGACTAAAAGTCTTCTTTGATCCTGCAGCACAAGTATTTTAACAATTTAGTGGCAGAATTCCAATTCAGAAACTGAATGCTATTCAGTGAGCCAAATAGCTTCTTGTATTGCCTGGGAGAATTCCAGAAAGCTCCCTGAATTTCATATTCCATTAAAGTACACTAACTATTCATGATAAATATTAGAAAACAAAATAAAATGAAGGAAATTGGGATCAAAACCAGATAGTTAATTTCAGCCTCTTTTTTTTTGCAAACTACAAACTGGAAGTAATCAGACAGGACCAAAATGTATTAATTTGGGGTAGATTTATTTGATTTTTTAAAGATACTACATAGTCAAACAGGATTGGTCTTTTTTTTTAACAGCATAGAACTAATTCCTACTATTTTTTCCGCCTACATAGACTTATTTTATATACAAAAACAGTTTTTTGACCGCTGTCTTCCCCAATGTTTAGATGATCAAAACTGAGAATTATGTGGCGCCCTAAGTGTTGGGAGGCAGAAGAATTCTTCACCACTACAGCAATAAAAAGGAAAAATTAGTCCCATTTATCAACTCTGAACAGGTGCCTTTTTTTTTCTTTCTTTTTGTAACCATTTATAGCAGTAGTCAAATTTCCATGACAATGAAGAAAAACATGAGATGAAATACATTAAATAAGTTAAATATGCATACACATCTGGATATAAGGGTTTTTAACTTGGCGGCATGAACCAACAGCAATGGTAGCTTGGTCCCCATTTTAGAAGAACAAGGCATTGTTCCTTATTCTGTGTATAACCTGACACGCAGTCAACTGCCCAGCGTTTTCAACCTCGCAGTGGTGGGATTGCATCGGCTTCTTCTAAGCCTTTTCATTCCTTAAATTATCTTGGTAAATTCACCAGACAAGACTTACCAATGCTGTGTGTCCAAACATGTCCTTCTACAGACAGGACATTAGGAATCAGGAAGTCTACTGATACGTTTCCCCCAGGCAGTTGTCCCCAGATCCTTGGCTAATTCAGCACCTTCGCACCACTGCCTCCTTCTATGCCACACTAATAAAAATTCATCTACTGAATCAGCTGACAGGCACAAAAAGGATGCGCTATGGTTTCACTTTCTATCTGGGCTGTTGAGAAGAAAGCAGCAAAAGCTAAGTTTATGTTAGTGAAGGGCACACATTAAAACAAGCCTTGTTATCTCCAGAGGATCACCCATTGTTTTGGGGGTTCAGGATGGAGACAGATTTGAAACAGCTTCAAAACAGGGATCAATGAAAACGAATGCCAAATTACATAAAGGGACAGAAGGCTTTGAGTACACCTAACGTCGTGTATGGTTAAGGCCCATGAAAACTGGCTATGGCTGCAAACACTGAAGAGGCAAGGATCTCTGGAGGATGGGACAAACAGGATGAAAAAAAAAAGCGGGAGAGAGAGAGGGAGAGGGAGGGGGAGGGAGAGAGAGAGAGAGAGAGGGAGGGAGAGAGGGAGGGAGAGAAAGGCAGAAGTATATGGTCCCCATTAACACTCACACCTGGATCAGAAAACAGAAGGTCAAAAGGAATTTTATCTGATCAGATTAACTGCAAAGGGGGGGGGGATTTCTAACTGCAATAGCAGCATATAATGCTCCCTCTTACTGCAAAGCCAGTCTGAATAAGTGCCACACCCTCAATTCAGCTTGGAGCACTTTAGTGCAATGTATTCTCTGAAGGCGACCAGGTTTTGGGCACCCCACATTTTCAAGCCCACAGTAAGCCATTTTATTTCCTTCACTATGACTCCAAAAGAACTGTAAGCGTGCAATTGAGCCTCTCTATTTCTATTTCTCTATTTCTCCCCATAGTTAAAACATTCCAGAAGCTTTGGTGATGCCCAAGCCATACACAGACTGGCAGGGACCAAGTGCAGCAGTGTTGTCAATTCAGAAGGTCCCGATTCCCCTTCCTGGCCCGTGAATCTGTCCCGAGTCCTCCTCTCTTCCTTTTCTTTGTTCTATTCCTCCACAACTGCACAAGATGACATGGGAGCTGGAGAAAGACGGCCATGCTTGTATAATTCATAATGGAATCAACACCGGATTAATGAGATACACTGCTGTGATTTGGAGACCAGATACACCCATTGGGCAGAACCGTTAGGTTTATGGAGGAGACAGGGTGGCTTAGGTATATTTTACAGAAAACCATCCACCTTGGCAACTTAAACCAACTTCTAAAGAACAAAACAAACTCCTCCAAAGGACGGACATTTATTTCTCCAAAGGGGAGAACTCTAGGAATAGATTTCAAAGTCCCAAGAAATGCTTAAGGTACTTTTTTTTTAAACAATGCACTTTTCATAGTGTTAAATACATGATTCCTTCCTCTCTCCTCACAATCAAGATAATTCCTTCTCTCTTCTGCTTACTCTGTATACAGTTTAAACGTTTTAGTAGATTATGTTATGCTAATGTTATATTTGTGCAGGGGTAAAAATTTTAAAAGGCAAGACCTGTGAGATGTCATACACTTTTTTTAAAACATTTGTTACGAATAAATTTAATCCAATGATATGGCAAATCCATCAATTTGATTTACAATTCTCTGCATGCTGCCTCTACAAGGCGATTTTCCCTATAATTACGCCAACAATAAAGAACAAAACCACCAGCGCGAGTAATCTTGTGCTGAGACCCTCCTCCTTCACAGCGGTGGCAGAAACATAGCTTGGATGGTTTGACTGGGGTGTCTTCCTCATCCTCAGTCCGTCTTCTTCCTGTTGCAAAGTTAATTTGAAAGGTTTTTTTAAAAAAATAATAATTATGCTTTGAAGTTCATTCTTATTTAGGTTAAGATACCAATCAATGCCTGCCCAACATCCTATGCAGCTCTCCCACGATCAAATCTTTTGTGCTTCAGTCTTTTAATACATTTTTAAAAAACCTTATAAAAAGAGTAAGAAAGCAACTTCCAGTTTGGGGTGTCTGAAATGTGGCCTCACTCATTTGGTCCTTGGATCTGTCCAATGATCTGTCCCACCCTCTGCTGGCTGGCCAACTGCCTCACTCACTCCAAAGGAGACTGAATCCCTGATGCACTGAAATATGTGCAAACCAGATTGAGAACAAGGGTTTCTTTTTCAAATAGAAAAAACTGGTGACTTATTTGAAAAAAAAAAAAAAAAGGAAATCTTGTGACTGGAATCATGAGGAAAGGAACTGAAACTGTCAATATAACAACCTTATGAAGATATATGGCTAGTATGATTGGGAGTGCTGTTTACGGTTCCAGTTGCTTTGTTGTAAGAATAATATCATACAAGTAGAAAAGATGCATAAAAAGGCTGGCCAAATGATTCAAGGGCTATAGTTGCATTCACACAAGGGTAACACTTTAGCTTTTGACATGGGGAGTTAAAGGGGAGACCCACAAACAGCATTTGCAGTCATGCAGTGAAGAGAAAACGTAGACAAGGTAAGGATCTTCTCCCTTTCTCGTAGAACTTGACACTAAAGCCAAGGAAGATTTAAGACCAATGGATGGAAAGGACATCAAGAGTGGAAACTGCTACCAGCAGTCCTAAGAATGCCATCCAATATGAATAATTTTATTCAATTTTATTTATGAGCTAGCTGTCAATACTTGATGTCCTTTCCATCAATTCAACGTGATGGCAGTTTCCTACCTTTTGAATTATTGGCAGTACCGGCTGCTAGGAAATTCCAATGGAAAGGAGCTCTTGACCTGTGGCAAGGTTTGTGAGTTTTCCCAATCATCTCCTTGGCCATCGGGCAATACAGAATGCTGGGCTATTTGGGCTTAGGGCTCGATCTCAGCAGGGTTGTTTTATGCCCATAATTTTGAGTGGTCATCAGGGGTTTAATAGGTATGGATTCTGAGCTTATACAGTACCTTTATTCAGTATGTTGTAGAGTACAACCATTTGGAAAGGATGGAGCCCTACACTCCCTGTGCACTGTCTGTTCCTTCATGAGGCTTCATCTGAGGCCTTTATTATTTAAGCCTGATACAGCAAACTCTTGAATTAGGGGATGACCTGCATGAATTTACAAATGGTTGGTCCCTCAAGTTTCTTGTTTTCTAAGCAAAACTTCAACCATACCAGACATAATCAAAGTTGCTAAATCTGCAAGAGAATATTAATAGGGAATAGTTTAATCCCTAGGGTTTTTTTTTTTTGAAACATCGTCACAAATGTTTAAACTAAAAGATTATGTTGCTTTTATCTGCATAGCCATAAAAAGTGGAGGGAATACAGTTAAGTATCACTGATTTCATTTACTCAATTTCTCTTCTCTCAAGCAAACTCAAAATCCTACTCATTTGGTTGGCTCAGCACACTTATCCTTAATTAACTCAAGAAAAACAGTAGGTCATTTTCACACAGCATGCTGAACCATAAGCTAACCACGTGGCATCGTTCATTCACCAAAAAGATGACTGGGCAAGGTGTGGCTCAGCATCATGTGAACAAAACCAGTGTAGCTTCTTAATTTCTGAGTTAATATGAAGGTTGTGGTTTATATATATAAAAAGTGGGTGGGGGTTGTTTTTGGAGTTCTGTACAAATCAGGTCACTATGGATTGTTCTACAAACTCTGAGTAAAAACAGTGAATGAATTGTGAAGAATCAATAATGCCATGTATAGTCCAGCTGTGATTTGAAAAAAACCCCTCACATTGGGGTGTTCCTAAAGCTCTTGACTAGATAGTAAGTTTACCTTATAAGTAAGTTTACCTTAAATTGTTTATTCTCCTCTCGTAACCTCTGAACTTCTAACTGCAGTCTCTTACATTCTTCCATTACTTTCTTCAATTCACTTTCATCTGAAGAAGAACTTAATGATTTTGACATTACAGATTCTGTCTTTGATGCAACTGGGGATATAATTTTATTTATTTCTATATCATGCTGTTGAGAGAATGGGAGAAAAGAGTAGGAATAGTTATTTAATGACCATTAATAATTTATCTATTGCAGTTTTAGCATGCAGAGGGGGCCCACCATAAAATAATTAAAGAACGGGCCGTACAAAATTAATGCTACAACATTTAGTATTACAGTTCCAATTAAAGTTATAAAAACTCTTAGCAAAGCCCAAGATAGAAAGCAAGGTAAGGTGAATGGCCCTCTTGAATCAGCCAATGCCACAATTTTGGCATGCCTAATTAGAAAGTAGTTCTTTGCATCCTGGAAACTATCTAAATGCCAGTGGTCCGGTGTGAAGAGTTTCCCCCAATACTACATGCACACAGAGTGCTACAAGAATAGATGTTTTCTTATTTGCCTTTGGCCTAGCCCATTTAGGATTCTGAAAAAGTAGCCAGGAACATATCAGAAGCCAGTGAAACTATACATTATGTGGCCTGGTAGGCATGTTTGGAGTTATAGTTAAACAACATCAGAGAAAGCTTGAAGTTTTCCCAACCATACTTAGAAGTTACTGTGAATTTTAAGAATCAGATTTTGAAAACAGTGAAATGAATATAAATATAGTTTCAACTGTAGCTATGGATAACTCAGGATCCTTTGATCATTGAATGCATTTGTTCAGACCTAGACATCCATTAAAAATAAAGAATTGCACATGCTGTGATTGAATAAAGATATAATACAAAAAAGGAATTACACAAGCTATGGTAGCAACTGGAGGACACCCCTATCCCCCAAACTACCATAAATACTGGGATTATAATCCTTAATGCTAGGAGCAGTAGGCCAAATTCTAGAGTACCATTGTCTAGCAATGTTTTAGAGGACTAGCAGTTCTGAAAACATTTGCCTTAAAATGTTTGGTAAATTAAAATACCTTTTGCCATTTCTCATTGGTGCCTCAAACTAATAGCTGGGCTTAAGTTATTATCCTATAAACACAAGTCATTCCTTTCATCTTAGAGCTATGGAGAGTTGTTTTTGAATGGGTCATCACTCACAAAGTGCTGGGAATCACCTGATGGACCTCTAGAGGACCTCTACCTGATGGACCTCTAGGAGTGCTGTTTTTTGGAATAGCAATAGCACTTCTGTACCACTTTATTGTGTTTACAGCCCTCTCTACGTGGTTTACAGTGTCAGCCTATTGCCTCCAACAATCTGGTTCCTCATTTTACTGACCTCGGAAGGATGGAAGGCTGAGTCAACCTTGAGCCAGTGAGACTTGAAATGCCAAACTGCTGGCAACCGGCAGCCAGCACAAGTAACCCGCAGTACTGCATTCTAACCACTGTGCCACCAAATTCTAATGACAGAAGCCAATACAAATCACCGCTCTGGTGTTTCCCAAGGGCAGGGTAAGCACCAAAGGAAGGGCCACTATTCAGACCAATTAAAACAGCTCTGAGCTGATGTTCTTTAGCCACCCATTCACTCCTCCCTAAAATCTCTAATGTGACTTACAGTACTATTCCTCCTCACTGAAACTAAGTTACATTTTGACATACTGAAACCGATGATGGACAATGAAATATTGCTGTTGCTTGCTGTAAGCCATTAAGCTTATAAAAGTTTAAATTTATGTAAGTCATTGTTTTGTTGTTCAATGTTTAAGAGAGATCAGAAAAAAGAAAGCAATCAATGTCTCTCTCTTCTCAACTGTCATTCTGCAAATGTGCTGGAATTGTAGTTCCAAGCATTTTGAGCCATCTTGGGAATTTTCAGGCCTACTGGCTAGGAGTTTCTGGAGAATTATTCAGAAATCCAATTAGGAAAAGGCTACACAGTATATCTTAGCTTCCATTTCTGCATGATTTTGTACTTTTTATATTCCGGATAAAGGAAGCCTTCAACATGGTTTTCCAGGTATGCACTATTCTAAAAGTATAAGGCAGAGATTGAAATATATTAAAGCCCTCCCATTCAGTTTGGAAAGCTGTGAGTGCATAAATGCTGTGATTTCATCCAAATGGAGAGATTAGAACAGGGGTGTCAACCTCACGTCATCGTCCGAGTTTGGTGGTTTGCTTGCAGACGTTTCATTACCTGACTAGGTAACATCTGATGTTGTTACCTAGTCGGGTAATAAAACGTCTGCCAGCAAACCACCAAGTTCAGGGAGCGGGAGGAAACCGAAGCTGCTGAGCCAGAGAGTATGACAGGCTTCGGTTGCTTCCGCCCTCCCCTTCTTTCATTTGTGTCCTTGATCCCCGATCCCAGCAGCATTCACCAAAGGCGAAGAAAGCCGCCATTTTTTTTCTTTGCGGCCCGGTACAGAGTGCTCCACGGACTGGTACCGGTCCGCAGCCCGGTGGTTGAGGACCCCTGATGTAAATTGCAGCTAAATCCTAAATCAAGAACTTTTAGTTGCCTTACCGTCCCTTTCTTGCCTTTTTAAAAAAATCACACAAAAATTAGAGACTCACGGGTTTATCGTTTTCTGCTGGCAGCTCAAACACACATTTAAGTTTAGAATCCATGAGTTCTTCTGGTTTTGCTTCTTTCCACTACAGCACAAACAGAAGTAACAAAGTTATTATATAAAACAATGTTAGGATTTATATTAAACTATTTATACTGTGGACACTATTGTTGAGACTATAACCTACTGAATGGCTCTTTGACGGAATTGAGTAAATAAATAAATTTGGAAGATTGATTTTTTTTCATACAGATGAATGTTTTTGTTAAAAGTGAGCTTCACCAATGTCCCTCAGTATTCTCCAAATTGAATACAATATTCTTTTTCAGAGATAGCTTGAATGTGTGTCATGGTCTACGTTTAATATCTTATTTTCCTTCAACCTCAGAAACGATACTTATTTGCCTGACTCTCTGAGAGACGGGAAAGGGCCAAATTATACACAGGTAGTCCTCATTTATTCAACTACTCCTTCAGTGACTGTCTGAACTTATGATGGTGCTGAATGAGTGCCACTTGTGACCAATAAGTTCTACTTACTTTGGTCACAGTGTCCTGCAGTAGCCATTTGCATCTTTCTTTACGGGGCTCCTACTAATGTCAATGGGGAAGCTGGCAGAGGATCAAAATTACAACCCTGTAGCATCCCTAGTTAATGACCCATGCTGATTTGCTAAGCAGCAGAAAATGTAAATGGATTAAATTTCTACTGCTAAGCAGCACAGTCATGGGATGTCACATTTTAGAATTGCGACGCTTAACCAACAGAAATTCCAGACAAAATTATTAGTGAGGACTGCTTATATTGGAATCGCTGTCATCTCCTTTTTACGACCTCATAATCCCTTGCAGGGTGGAGTCTGGGCAACTGAATGGAGCTGAGAGTTCACTGGCCAGATGCCCTTCCTGTCACCAATGCGGAGTTATATTCAGCAGATATATTCTCAACGTGCTGAGAGAGAGAAATAGCTCCTCTACCTAGGATCGAACTCACAGCCTCCTGATTGTGAGGTGAGAGCTCCACGCCTAGGCCACCGCACCACTCTATTGCCTATCTTGGAATAAACAGGCATAAAGTCAGGCACCCTCTGAGAATGTGTAAGGTCAGCCAACAAACCTTCTGTCTGGGGCAGCAGATAGAAAACCATTCTGGCTCCCAACTTTAACGCTGTATAGATGGGAAGGGAGCATGTAAGCAACATCAGGGAATCCAACCATTTCATCAGCATTCAATTTGGAAGGAGACTGAAAATGGTTTGGCAGCTGAATGGCTATTGAAACTCGGCTGTCTAATTCAACTGGATCATTTGCTTGCTTGTAAACATGCGATGCACATGTTGCTTGACCCCTTGAGCAGACCCCTATGCATGTTTCCATGAAAGCCCTTTACATGGGAAAGCCCTGAAGAAGCAGAGGGAAGTTTTTCTGAAGAAGAAATGCAACTAAAAATAATAGTAATTGGCTAGAATTTGCAGAACTCAAAATGGGAATAGTCAAACAAGGGTATTCCAGCATATTAATGCAGGGGAGTCAGTCTTATCACCAGATGGATAAAGGCAAATTACAACAATCAGTTGTCTTTAATACTACTTTATTCCCTGTATGGTGAAGCATTAAAGAGCAGAAATGCAGAAGAATGATTAACAACTTGTTCCACCAATTACACTTAGCTGCGGGTTGATGCTCTGATAACAATTCAAAATGTAGAAAAAGTATGGCTGGTTAATTTAGACTTAGATATTAAATGTACAGTTAAAACATAGTTCAAATTTTCCACTCTGATCAGTATACTACATCAGGGGTAACCATGCTCTGAAATCAGGTGATCTCCTTTCCCAAATACTATTGATTTCCAAAGATATAAAATCTCTGTAGATATTAATTTATCATAAACAGTTCATTGAAGAGACATAATCACATCATTCTTATAATAAACCACACATGTGTTTTAGTGGGGAGGTACCATCATATCATCCATGAGGCCAAAGTCAGATCTCTTATCTCCCTCTAGACTCGCTTGCTTAACATGCTTCAGAAAACGGCCAATCACAAACCTATTAAGATAAAAGATGCTCATGAACATTGAAAAGCTTCTAATACTCACTACTGCCTCCATGTCTGAAGTATCAGGTGGTGCAAACATCGACTGGACCATGAACTTATGTTTACTTTTCTCATTAGGGTCATAATCAAAAGGTTGTAGCATCACTGAAAGAGAAATCATTGCTGCGTCAGGACATCTACAGGGTTGTCATATAGTTATTGTTGCTGGCCCAGCATTCTTATCGTCTTTCCTGGAAAGCTGAGAAAAACCTGGCCTTATGTATCGAAGAGATTTCCCAAATGGATTGCTATATCAATGCTTTGTTTTTCTCCCACTCTGTTAGCTTTGCTAGCATTGTAAGCCAGCCAGGGAATGACGGCAGTGTAACATGGTATACCTACTACTTGCCCACTAAAATAGATGATTCAGCAGAGGTGGCACCACTGAGTTATGCAAAACAATAATGCAGCACAGAACTAGATGTAATGCAATCGGATCTAAGATACTGCATGCCATACCAAACTCGTAGGCATTTCCAAAAAGTACACCCAAAAAGCATCTCAAACTGCTATGGACTTGATCTATTGTCTTATACACGATACTGTGGTAGATTCTTCAACACAAATACATCTAGTAAATGAACAGCATGAAACTTCAGAAGATTTTATACTACATATGTCTAATGGTTTTCTAAATTTAATAAATTTCTAAATTTAATATTTGTTACATTTTCTAAAAAGATCTCAAGATAACCATTTCTTTGTCCAATCTCTCTGCACACCATCCCTGTGAGGTAGGCTGGGCTGAGAGAAGGAAAAAGAAGCTGACTGAGAGGCTGGCAAGATAGCCTGAGAGAAGTTAAGTGGCCCAAATTCACCTTATGTGTTTCTATAACTGATGGTGCACATAAGCCTGTGGCTCCCTAGTTTCCTAATCTTAACTAGTTTTAATAGTAAAGAACATTTATGACTAAGGGCTGATATGGTAGGTCCTCGATGTTCTCTGAACCTGGTTGTTTTTCTCCAGACATTTCATTAC